TCTTGTGCATTTTCCTTCCTTGCATACTCATAAAAATGGAGCTACTGCTGCCAGAGAGTAGGTAGGTGGTGACGCAGTGGAGCAGGTCCCAGAGAATGTGCTCGGCAATGTCTTCAGTCTTTTTAATCACTTTCCTTCCTTCACTCACCAGGAAATATGTCCCCTCTGCTCTCTACCCCTAAATATCATCACATCTTTTTGAACCAGTTAGTAATTATGGAAGATATCTTGAAAGAACCCAGTTGCTGCCATCCGTTTATGCTTTATTGAGGAGCAGCTCACCCAAATGCAGCATCGAGGCACAGTCTTCCTGCTGTCTCAGCATCCTGGTTGCTGATGGAAGCATGAAAGCTCATTAGAATTTTAAGAGATTAAAAAAAAAATGTTTAGTTGAACAATAGAAATGGGGCAGGTTTTAATCAGGAATGCCATATTTTAATCTCTCCTTGCTTCAATAAGAGAATAGTTCTCTTACAAGGGACAGGGAAATCCATAAATTCTGCCTGGTAAATGGTGGGAATTTTGTAGTCATAGCTTTCGCCCTAGTGTTTTCCTTCCTCTTTTGTCTGCATGTCTCTCAGGGCACCGGGAATGCTTTGCTTTATATATAACAACAGACACTTCACGTTTGCCAGGTATCTGTCCAGAGATCTTGGTGAATACCCAGCTTTTCTTGGATTCTCAGAGCAACAGGCTTCGTTGCCAGGAGGTCACGTGAGCTTGATTGCTAGCGGTGTGATTCCAGCACGCCCAGTGCAGATTCGTGCTGTAGCGAAGTGGTTCCCTCGCATGGATCCTCACGGGCGTTTGTAACCATCAGAAGGAACCTTCAAATGGTTAGGTGAGGTTTCTGGGAAGGGTTTTAAGGGTGCACACATGCCTCTTCCTGAGACTGCAAGCTTCCGGCAGTAATGACCTTGGCGCTACATCTTTGCATCCTTTGCAGCCAGCACAGGTTGTAGCTGAGAGAGGAAAGGAAAACTGTCTGTGGGTCTAATCATGTCCAGTCTGTTGAGCTGTGTTATATAATAAGATGATTCCCTCATTTCTTTATGTTTTCATTTTCTGCATGAAAGCTTTATTTTCAAATAAAGAAACGTATTGGGGCAGGTAATCAGTTATGTCACTTCTGTTAACTGTCTAGTTTTTAAATGCTTGGGGTTTAGCACTTTGAAAAAAAATCATTCTGTTTGAGAGTCTTGAAAAGTAATCTTCTTGCCATCATTCCTTGCTAAGAAAGCTGCATTTCCTGGTGATTTAGTGAAAACTTTTGTCAGGTACACATGAAAGTAGCCTCTCACGTGGGCCTGCGCCCTCACACTGCCCATGAGGCAACCTCTGAGGCCGGGCTTCAGCCCAGTTGCTGGAGGACCAGCTTCCACCACCTGTTCTGACTCCTTGCCACCTCTGAATCCCAACACAAACCAGGTTTGTAATTGCTGGACTGTACAGGGAATCAGGATAGGTGGGAATGGGGGTTTAATCAAAAGAAACATTGAGAAAGTTACAGGGGTTGACAGGAGCTCAGTAAACACTCCAGAGAGTCACGCATCCATGTGAAAATGTACAAAGAGGTAAAAATGCCTGCATTTTAGCTCCTTCCAAGACTTCCTTCTTAGCCCTTGAGTCAGAACATATCAGCTTGTGATGAACTAACTTACTCAAATTAGCTCAAGAAAGAGACCTGTGAGAAGAACGTTACCTGCTTCCAGGAGAGCTGAGCAAGCAGGCCTGGGGGAAGGCAGGTCTTCGGACCTCAGCAGTGGGCGTGGGGTCTGCACGCTGCACACTCCCTCCGGCTCTGAGTGTTGGGAAGGCAAATGGTTCCTTCAGTGCCCAGGCTGGACCCAGCCAGCTGTGTCCTGAGGGCATGAGGCTGCCCCATTCTGGGCTGTGAGAAATAGACATTCAGGCAAGCCAGCCACTGTCCACTGCTGCTCCCGGACGTCGACAGTCCACCTCCCCCATCCCTGTAACCTAAAGGCAAGTCGTGATCAAAGGGGATCTTTCCAGTTATCTTTTGAGATCTAAAACTTTCCCCAAAATGACATTCTTCTTATCTTTATTCCATTAAGAACGTGGCTGATATGAGTTTAATTTGGATCTCTTATTCCCATGACTGACAGTTTTCAATCTAGGAAGAGTTGGATTAGAAATGGAACAGACTTCGAATGAATTATTTAGCAAAAGATCTCTTATAGCCATTGTACATTCAATAACTCAAAAGCATTTCTCTGACACTCACTTCAAGGCCCTATGCTAGGTGTTTTGAGGAAAAATACTAATAACTAATATTGAGTTATTGTTACATGTCAGTGATTGTGCTAAATGATTTTACGTGCATGAGCTAATTTTAATTCTTTAGCATATCTTTGCGCTAGCTGCTGCTCCTATCCCTATATTCAGAGCAGAAAATTAAGACTTAGGAAGTTTTAGCAACGTTTCAAAGAAAACCAAAAGATTATTGGAGACTTCCCTGGTGGCGCAGTGGTTAAGAATCCGCTTGCTAATGCAGGGGACACGGGTTCAAGCCCTGGTCTGGAGAGTTCTCACATGCCGCAGATCAACTAAGCCCGTGCGCCACAACTACTGACCCTGTGCTCTAGAGCCCACGTGCCACAACTGCTGAGCCCGCGTGTCACAACTACTGAAGCCCGTGTGCCTAGAGCCTGTGCTCCACAAGAGAAGCCACCGCAGTGAGAAGCCTGCGCACCGCAACGAAGAGTAGCCCCCGCTCACCACAAGTAGAGAAAGCCCGCGCGCAGCAACGAAAACCCAACACAGCCAAAAATAAATAAATAAATAAAGCTACTCAAAAACATTTTTAAAAAAACAAAGATTATTGGAGTTAATGTAAGTCTGAAATACATGAAAAAAAGTGGTGGGAAACAAGTTGGACAGGTAGGTAAGGGGATGAATCACGACCTGAGTGCCATGCTGAAGACGTGTGGGTTCTGTTGCTAACGAAGACCAAATGAGTTTCTGGGATCCTAGGGGCGATGTCAGAACTATTCTTCGGAAAAGCTTCTCTGGCTATAATTGTGGAGTGGGAGAGACTGATGGAACTGAGGAGGCCTCTGGTAGAGGTGCCGAGAGAAGCCGAGGACCGACCAGGACTGGAGTAGTTTGCTGTGGCCATGAATGGAGCAGAGAATGCTGTGGTTTTCTTTTCAGCTTCCTTTTATGTTCCCTCTCTGGGGCTTGATTTTAAAAGTCTAGCTTTTAAACATCCTAGCATAGACTCCTGCTGGATTTGGAGTTGCCTTCAATTTCAGCAGAAAAAAAAAAAAAGAATAAAACAAACAAAACTCCATTTTGAAAAACTCTGTCTACCAAATTACCTGTATTGTGAGGAAACAGTGATTGAGGAGCCAGGTGTTCATCCGGCTGCAGCGCTTTCATCAGGCTAAGGGTGGCCAGAAAGCGACCCACACGCACACCCACGTTCCTGCACGACTACTCCCCTGTCAGCGTGTAGGACACAGACACTTATGAGAGGTGTGTTTGCCCCTCAGGAGGGGGCTCATTTGGTGGCTGTCACCACTGCTTTTCCGTGGCCCTGGGTTTCCTAGCAGGACACGCTGCTCCTGGTTTTACTGTCTACACAGGTGTGGTTACGTGGGACCTGAGAAAACAGCTTAATTTTTACGTGCCTCTCATTCTTGAGGCTCGTATTTTATCCCCAAAGAACTTCTGGGTGATCCTGTTTGAAGGAATGTTGTAAGTATTGGGTTTTCCTGGATTGAACCAAACGCAGCATCTGTGGGGTTCTCCACTTCACCCAGAGGAAGAGAGTGGACTCAGTGTCTCCAGCTTGTGGGCACTGTGGGAAGGGTAGGTCCCTGCCCTAGACCTGTGCTATCTGTGCTTTCATTTAGCAAGTGTGAATTAAGTAGTGTGTGCACCAGACCCTGTGCTGCACATGGAGGATGCAGGGATGAAGAAGGCACAGCTGCTCTGGGGCAGAAGCTGCCAGGATAGTTTGGGCATAGAGGCAAGCATGTAAACATACCAGCACAAAACATGCCAAAGGTGCTTCTCAGTATTTGGTAAGTCTTTTGATGTTTAAACTCCTGAAAGGAATACTTTTTTTTTTTTTTTTTTGAAAGAGAAGAAAGAAAATTAAAGATGAAAGAGAAAAGTTTGAGTTTGAAAGTGTAATAGCCCTTGGAAATTAAGAAAAAATTCCATAAGCCTACAGAATAATAAAGAAAATAAATAATAAAACAAAATAGTAATAAATATATGAATAATAGTCATAATATGAGTTTTTCAGTTTACCTAAAAACTAGAGATATTTCTGTGTTAGACTGGGAACTTCAGCTTTTTGTGAAGTTGGAACCTACCTAAAAGCTTTATCTCTTGTTCCCCTCTGGTTCCTAGTAAAAAAAGCTCCTTATGATGCTTCAGAGGAATTCCTGCTGTCTTAGGGTGGCAAAGGAGTTGATTGAGCCAGGGCTGTTCTCTGGGTCCTGAAACTACAGGAGGGTGTGGAAGGTGATGCACTCCCGGACATGCGGCTGGACTTCTGAGAAGAGCTCGACCCTAGCAGGGACTCTGGTGGTCAGCCAGGGTGTGGGGAAGGGTGGGGAATGTGGGATCTGGGGACTCTGTGCTGACATTCTTGTAATTATCTATAGTTCTAAGCCTTCTTGTGCCGCTAGTAACTACCTTTTTCATGGGTGACGCCGTGAAAGTCTCCTTATTTTACATCGTTGAGATCAAAAGTAACACAGTATCAAAGAAGAGTAACATACATCAATTTTCCTGATACTAATATGAATTGAAAATACTGTATCTAAGGAAGAACTGTATTAATGGGATTGTATATAGGGAGAAAGGTGAGATGAGAAGCAAGGGGATGCTTCCTCTGTTTCTGTACCATTTTATTTTACTTTTTTTGCATTCTATTATATAAGCATTTTCTGTTCTCTTAAGGATGAGCTAGCTAAAGATTCGGAAACTTATCCTGATAAATGATGGGCACTCTCCTCTTTCAGCAGATTTCTGCACATGGCCGATCTTCTTCCAATGTAAATGGCGGGCCTGAACTTGATCGTTGCATGAGTCCTGAAGGTAGTTCTCAGCCTATGATTACTTTTTTTTTTTTTAATTATTTATTTATTATTTTTGACTGTGTTGGGTCTTCGTTTCTGTGCGAGGGCTTTCTCTAGTTGCAGCGAGCGGGGACCACTCTTCATCATGGTGTGCGGGCCTCTCACTATCGCGGCCTCTCTTGTTGCAGAGCACAGGCTCCAGACGCGCAGGCTCAGTAGTTGTGGCTCACGGGCCTAGTTGCTCTGCGGCATGTGGGATCTTCCCAGACCAGGGCTTGAACCCGTGTCCCCTGCATTGGCAGGCAGATTCTCAACCACTGCGCCACCAGGGAAGCCCTATGGTTACTTTTGTAAGGGAAGCCATCCATGTGAACTTGGTCGCCCCCCAAACCCACTTGTGCTGAATTATCTCCCTAAACAGCAATGGGATCATGACACCAGTTAGCCTGTTTAGCCTTATTGGGCAGGGGTCACATCAATATGTATAGAATCTCGTTAATTAAGCTATCCAGTTTCAGATTTTAGTCTTGGGTTTCCTTTATTTTTCCTTAATTGCAATCTGCTCACAATTCCTAAATGTAGACTTTCCTTGTTCTTAGATAACTTTAAGTGGGTTTCTTTGTTTGATGTCAGCTATGTACAGGGCACTGGGGATACATTGTGAAAAGTGGTCGATCTTAACCACTTCCTTCTCCTGCCCCTCCCCCCTCTCCTTTTTGAGGACACTTTGAGCCAGAAATTAGCCTTAACAAGGTATACCTAAGTGGCCAGAATTTTCTTTACTAGAAAAAAAAAATATATATATATATATATATATATATATATTTTTTTTTTTTTTTCCGGTACGCGGGCCTCTCACTGTTGTGGCCTCTCCCGTTGCGGAGCACAGGCTCCGGACATGCAGGCTCAGTGACCATGGCTCACAGGCCCAGCCGCTCCGCGGCATCTTCCCGGACCGGGGCACGAACCCGTGTCCCCTGCATCGGCAGGCGGACTCAACCACTGCTCCACCAGGGAAGCCCTACTAGAAAATCTTGAAGAGAAAATTTCTAAGATCAAGTCCCCATCATCATCCCCTCCCCCTTTCTCCAGAGTTGACAAAAAGTTTACGGAGTTTTGGTTAGACTTCCCTTTTACCCAAAGCTAATCACTTATTTTCAGCTGATATTTCAGGGATTTGTCAGGTTTATTGATTTTGTTGGTTTCTGATTCCAACCAACAAGGCCAAAAGGAAATTGGTGGTTCAGGTGTTCTATTCAGAGAATACGCTCAGAGGATTTTCTTTAGTTTTACCACAGATTTAGAAATAACTCCACTGTGATTTATTATTTCACCAATCTGTAGGAATCAAGGTGAAATGTGATGTGTTCACTAGACTTTGTGTTTATCCTTTTTTGCAGGTGTGAATGGAAACAGGTGCTCTGAATCGTCAACTCTTCTTGAGAAGTACAAAATCGGGAAGGTTATTGGTGATGGCAACTTTGCAGTAGTCAAAGAGTGCATGGACCGGTGAGTGGGTAGTGAGGATAATCGTTTGTTCACCGACACATACGTTTCTCCTTTGGAGTTTATTCTTATCTGAATGAACGAAAGCCCTTCTTAAAGAGTCTACTCTTAGGGCTGGTGTTTTGCATGCCCACACGCAACTTGACAGGGGAAAATATATGTATACATGTAGAATATAAACCTGCTTTGTACTTTGGGAGATATATCAGGTCTCATCCATGAGCCAGAGAAAAATGGGAAAGAGTACGATTCATTAAAAAAAAAAAAAAAATCTCCTATAGCACTTCTGTGCCAGGCTCTATTCTCAGTGCTGTACTTATAGTAAGTCATTAACCCTCTCAGCTAATAATTAATTGCATATTATCAGTAGTTCAGGATACATGAGCTCTGACTTTATTCAGTATCAGAATCAGCCAACTTTTGCTCATATTAAAATTATATTTTTGCTTGTCCAGCCTTATTTTGTTTAAGGTCCTAATTTCTCAGATGGTAACAAATCCATTCTTTTACATTCCAGGCCTTTTGTAAACAATATTAAAACTGGAAAAGACTCAGATTAGAGTCTTTGTGTTTATAGCCTGTTATTCTAGCTGTTCTAAGTGGTAATTTTTGTTGTGATGGTGGGAGATGGGTGAGGGGGAGTTTTCCAGAAAGTTCTGGTGACTACAGTTTTCTTGTTCTGCTACATCTCCAGTGAAGCTTTACTGCTCCTTATATGGTACACAAAGTAGCTCCCTGTCTTCTAAGCCCCTCTGCTTAGCTCTGGTACACAGATTGCTGCTCAAGCAACAAGCATCTAAAATATGACTTCTAAAGACTCATTAGAAATCTGAGGCAGTGTTTGGTTTCTATTATGGAGAAGCAGTTTAAATAAAAGTTATTCTTCCAAGGTCGGTCTCATCAGTGTGTACTGTGACCACCTGGCAAAAGCAGCTTGTGCTTGAGAGAACTAACCTATTCCAAGAATACCACAGTGTTCTTTCTTGAACTGCTTTCCTATTCTAAAAGATGTATTTTTGACATGTTCAGATTAAATTATACTAAAGGTGATTAAAAGTTAAATAACAACATCAGGACTCTTGTGTCAAATGAATGACATCTCTAGTACCAGATATGGACGTTTGAAGGTGTGGATAAGGTGGCACCAGATCCTAAGTGGAGTTTTGGCTGAGAAATAGAAACTGAAAGTCTAGGGACTTTCCAGTTTTGAATTATGGGCTAATTAGTGACTAATGGACTCATGTAAAGACATTGATAAAAGAAAATTTTCTGTTACTTTGATTCATTTTTCTTAATTTTATTCTGTCTCCTAAGAGAACTACTTTAGAGATTTAAGTATGGAAGAACAGCTTCTTGTCCAAGTCTGATACAACAGAATTTAAATACTTTAAATATGTGAGTTACTTAATATTGTAATGATTAATACTTATAAAAGGAGATTGACAGTGTGGCTTTGTGGGTTTTAAAAAAATCTTTTGTGGGTATTTTTCTCCCTGACCCCACTCAGCATCCTCTCTGGTGTATAGAGAAGGAAGCCACTCTTTTTTCCCTGGGTCTGTGCTGTAGAGGAAATCAGGATGGATGGTGTCTTTGATTTATGTCTTTAAATGGCCTTCCTCTGATTATTCCATAGGTCCACAGGAAAGGAGTTTGCCCTAAAGATTATAGACAAAGCCAAATGTTGTGGAAAGGTACAGTATACATAACTGTTCTGTAAAAGAAACTGAAAAAAACTTAGAGGTGTTTACTGCGGTGAAGGAATTTACGTGGTGATTTGACAAGATCGTAATAGGAATAGTCTGCTGATAGTAGCGGGGGAAACCTTATCAAGCTTTTTTTTCCCCTGCCATTTTTCAGAAACCTTAATCCTAAAACAGTAAATTGATTTGATCTCTGTCCTAACCATTGAAAAATACAAGTTCTTCTCTCTGGGAGATGTCTATATCAAAACCCAGCAACACACAAAAGGTGCCTCAAGAACTGTGAGGGTTCTGAGACTTCTCAAACTAAGAAATTAGCCTTCCAGCTTTGTAGATGTGGCAGAAGACACAAGATTCCTGGGTCAGACAAAAACTACTACTGGTGCCATAGCAGATAGCATGAGCTCCATGCTTGCACTGGTTCCCAAAGCCCACAGAAGTGATGCAGAGGGGCCCAGCTGGATGCTGTCCACACAGTGGGTTTGTGTCACAGTGGAGGACCCCCAAGCTTAGGAACCCCCCAATCTTATGAGGGGGCCACTAGCATCCTACCCAGCCTCTGCCCCAGAGGAGAGCATTATTTTTATTATCATGGTCAGGAAACAAATCGCCCTCCACCCCTGGGGGAGACCCTGTCTCTGTCTTCCAAGGATGTTTGCTATACAGACATACTTGGAAAGACAGTTTGTAACTAAAGATGATGTGGGATGTGCAGAAACACCATGGATTGTCTCCCCAAATGGATGGACTTTTTTCTCTGTCCTACTCTGAAGATGGGACTGGGAAAAAAATCAAATGATAGAACGCTGCTAGATTACTGCCATTTCAACTATGTTTGAAAGGATAAATATTCTACAATAGTGATGACAAAGACCTTTTTAGATTCCTTTCTGGCAAGTAGCGTAGCAGTTAAGAGAGCAGGCTCTAGGGCCTTCCCTAGAAGGTGGCGCAGTGGTTAAGAATCCACCTGCCAATGCAGGGGACACGGGTTCGAGCCCTAGTCTGGGAAAATCCCACATGCTGCGGAGCAACTAAGCCTGTGTGCCACAACTACTGAGCCGGCACTCTAGAGCCCGCGAGCCACAACTACTGAAGCCTGTGTGCCTAGATCCCATGCTCCGCAACAAGAGAAGCCACCGCAATGAGAAGCCCGTGCACCGCAATGAAGAGTAGCCCCTGCTCGCCGCAACTAAAGAAAGCCCACGCACAGCAACGAAGACCCAACACAGCCAAAAATAAATAAATAAATTAATTAATTGAAAAAAAGAGAAGGCTCTAGATCTCATGGTCCAACTCTGAGTTCCTCGCGCTTGTGGTGCTGAGCACTTGAAGTATGGCCAGTCTGAACTGAAATGTACTCTCAGTGTAAAACACAACAGATTTTGAAGACTTAATGCAGAAAGAAGAATTTAAGATACTTCATTAATATCTTTTGTATTTGATTACATGTTGAAATGATAATATCTTGGATATATTGGGTTAAATAAGTTATATATTTTACCTGCTTTTTATATTTTTTAACATGGCTACTAGAAAACTTAAATTTACATATGTGGATCACATTTCTATTGAACAGTACTACTCTAGAGCCAGATTGTATAAAGTTTAATCCTGGCTCTGCCTCTTTTTGCTGTATGACCTTGGAAAAATTAGTTAACCCCTCTGTGCCTCTGTTTCTTCCTATAAAATGCAGTTGTTAATAATATCGAAGGCATAGGTTATTGTGAATTAATTGAATTAAGGCATAGAAAACATGTAGAAAAGTACCAGTATATAACAAGAATTTAACACGTGTTAACTGTCAATATTATTAATATGCCAGAGGAATTCAGAAGTTATAGCTAGGAGGATTTGACGTGATAGTAGTGGTTTTATACTTACGGAACTCCTAAAACTATTCTTCATCAGACATTTACAAAATTGTGTATTTTTAACAGGAAACTTAAAATATTATGATACAGTGTTAGAAGAGTCTTCTCAGAGACCCAGAATGGAAAATCCAATAGACAAATGTGTCATATACTTTTTTTTTTTTTTACTACATTGTGACAGCTAATGAAGCAGAGTCTGTGCAAAATGCCCCCCTTTTCTTTGAATAGGGTTTTTCTAAATGTAATTTTCTTTAAATAATTCTATGTGTGTTCAGTTATTGTGCTAACAATTTTATTACATTTTCAGCTGCAAAGCCTGTCTCCATATGTAAGTAGGTGTTGCTCTTTGTATCTGGTATTGTGTGATTTAAGCAGAATGTATCATAATTTGGGGAGCCAAGTTCTAACCAACTGTATTAAAGTATTTTTTCAAAAAAGTTTAAAAATAATTGCTCTGGTAAGGATATTGTTTACATGATTAAAATTTAAGCAGCTGTCTCAGTAGTTGAAAAAAAATCTTTATGCAAAAAAATTCGGTCTGGTACACTAAGTGTTGAGGCAAATGAATAGGTCACTTCAAACATTTGGATCTTATTTTTCTTTGTTATTGAATGTCATTTTATTTTTATAATTCACGATCATATATTTATTTCCATCCTTATATTTTGCTTATTTGAACAATTATTTCCACATTGACTATATAAAATTATAATATTAAAACTTTAAAAAAAAACTGAAGGATAGTTGACTTACAATATTGTGTTAGTTTCAGTTGTACAGCAAAGTGGTTCAGTAATTTTTTCAGATTATATTTCATTATAGGTTATTATAGGATATTGAATATAATTCCCTGTGCTATACAGTAAATCCTTGTTACTTATCTGTTTTATGTAAAGTAGTTTGTATCTGTTAATCCCATACTTGTTCTAAATAGGTAGATTTTTCCACTAAAGTTTATATTTAGGAAAAAAATTGATATAGAGAATTTGCTTTTTTTTGGCAGCAGGGGCCACTCTTCATCGCGGTGCGCGGGCCTCTCACTGTTGCGGCCTCTCCTTGCAGAGCACAGGCTCCAGATGCGCAGGCTCAGTAGTTGTGGCTCACGGGCCCAGTTGCTCCGCGGCATGTGGGATCTTCCCAGGCCAGGGTTCGAACCCGTGTCCCCTGCATTGGCAGGCAGATTCTCAACCACTGTGCCACGCAGGGAAGCCCAGAATTTGCTTTTTTAAAACAAAATCTAAGGGGAGGTATTCAGCCACTCTTCGGGGGCATCGTTCGTTACCTCTGCCTTGTGGGTTGTATACAGAAAAGTAATAATGATGAAAATAATATCAGCCATTTATCAAAATGTATTATCTATCCAAAATGTATTATCTATCCATTTATCAAAATGTATTATCTGTCCAGGCTTGGACATACAGAAATTTTGCACATTATCTTTAATGACTTGCAAAACAGATGTACTGATTTTACAGATAAAGAAACAGAAATTCAAATTAAATAGCTTCCCAAAAGTCACACAGAAGCAGAGCAGTGATTGGACCTTTGGGCTAGTTGGTTGCACAGCCAGTCTACACTGGCCAATCTACCATGATCCCTCTCCAAGTTCAACTTACGCATTTGTTCCTATAATAAGAACCTGGGAAAAATTCTTAACCTCCGGTTTTCTGTTTGCTTTTCTGTAATGTACAAGATTAATTCACTTGTTTACCTAACATTTGACGTTTGTGCAAGATACTGTGCTAGGAATAAGGTAATTTAACAATACCAGTTACGTAAAAGTGTTATGGGAGTTCAGGGTAGCACATGAGAGAGAAGTAGGCGCTCAGTGGAGATGCCTTAGAGCAAGAAGCATTCGAGCTGGATTTGAGCAGTAGGTACGGCTTGAGTAGGCAGTAATGACAGAAAAGCTTTTGAGGCGGCCAGCGCAGCCTGAGTAGAGGCCCAGAAGATGGAAAGCATGTTGGGTTCTTCCAAGTAGGAAGTTTTCTTTTTCTTTTTAAAAAATATTTATTTATTTATTATTTATTTATTTTTGCTGTGCTGAGTCTTCATTGCGGTACACGGGATCTTCATTGCAGCATGCGGACTCTTAGTTGCAGCATACAAACTCTTAGTTGCGGCATGCATGCAGGATCTAGTTCCCTGACCAGGGTTCGAACCTGGGCCCCCTGCCCTGGGAGTGTGGGCCACTGGACCACCAGGAAAGTCCCTCAGTAGGAGATTTTCTTAAATTGATTTATAATGTTGTGTTAGTTTCTGGTTTACAGCAAAGAGATTCAGTTATACATATGTATTTTTTTTCATATTCTTTTTCATTATAGGTTATTACAAGATATTGAATATACAGTAGTTCCCTGTGCTATATAGTAGGGCCTGGTTGTTTATCTACTGGTTTGGCCAAAAAGTTCATTCGGTTACTGAATATGTTGTTCAGTAAAGTTCTTCGTGAAAATGTGTCTTTTATTTTTACTTTAAACCAAACAAAGTTTCTGGCCAACCCAGTATTTTATATGTAGTAGCTTGTATCTGTTAATCCCAAACTCCTAATTTATCCCTCTACCACCCCCTTTCCCCTTTGGTAACCATAAGTTTGTTTTCTATACTGCGAGTCTGTTTCTGTTTTGTAGATACGTTCATTTGTGTCATATTTTAGATTCCACATGTAAGTGATATCATATGGTATTTGTCTTTTTCTGTCTGACTTCACTTAGTATGATAATCTCTAGGTCCATCCATGTTGCTGCAAATGGCATTATTTCATTCTTTTTATGGCTGAGTAATATTCCCTTGTATATATGTACCACATTTTCTTTATCCATTCATTTTTTGATGGATGTTTAGGTTGCTTCCATGTCTTGGCTATAGTATATAGTGCTGCTATGAACACTGGGCTGCATTATCCTTTCAAATTAGAGTTTTCTCTGGATATATGCCCAGGAGTAGGATTGCTGGATCATACGGTAACTCTATTTTTAGTTTTTTAAGGAACCTCCATACTGTTCTCTGTAGTAGCTGCACCAATTTAAATTCCCACCAACAGTGTATGAGGGTTCCCTTTTCTTGACACCCTCTCCAGCATTTATTATTTGTAGACTTTTTAATGATGGCCATTCTGAC